GGCATTATTGCGCATTTGAAGTAATTAAGAAACCAGTTTGGAGATTAATTAGTCTAGAAGATTTATTTTCTTATTTTCCGCAAAATATTAACATGATGAGCGATGGTAATTTATATATTTCAATGAGTATATAATATAATTACGGGCACCAGATCACCAATTAGAATACCAAGATGTTCAATCAAAAAAACCATTTCTGACGCTGAAATGATTAAATTTTGTGCATTAAGAGCGTTACTAGATATTGAGATTGGAATGTTTTTTTCAAAGCTTCGACCACGATCAAAATGTTTCAAGCGGGCATTAAAAATTTCAAGGGAAAAAAAATGTTCCTTATTTATCAAAAAGTTCAAAATTTTTGCTATTTCATATCGACATATTCCTTCGAATAAATCATGCATGGGATCAAGACTCGCATTTGTTATAACATGAAATTTCGGAATTTCATTAAAAATGGATTTAGATTTAATTCCCATGGAGCAGTCTTCACAGTCTTTTACATAATTTTGAGTAGTCCGTAGCATTTCAATATTTTCTTTCACTTGTTTTCGGCTCTCAATTTTATCCGCTTTACATATTCTACAGACATTTTGTGCGTTAAAGCTTGTTGTGAAACCACAAATATCGTTCATAGCTAAATTGTCACCAATAATCGTTAACAAAGAAAAATAAATCGTTCGTTGCTGGTTATCCACATTTACAGTTAATCCATGTTTCCCAAGATCTGTTATTTGATCGATAATATTACGAAATATTTTTATGTTACCAGCAGTCTTGTGATCTTTTGTATAGTGAAGTTGAGCTAGAAATATATTTTCCAACATACTGCTAAATTTATATGGGATACATCCTAATGAAAAATAGACAGCACCGAGTTTTTGTATATTAGCGTGTGAACCGAGAGGATTATTAATCTCAACGTCGTCAAAATACAATATCAATGGAAATACGATTTTTCCTGCAAATTGAGATTCAATGCTCTGCCATAATTCTCCTTGAATGTTTGAAATTATTAATTCACTAGATTTGCATTTTTCAATGTGTTCTAAAATTGAAGATAAAACGTTTGGTAATTCTAAAAATTTATTTAGGACCTTTTTCATTGATATCACTTGGATTTCTGCGTTTGAAACAACAATTTTGCGTTTACCTCCAATAAGATGAGAATTTACCGATGCATGAATTTTGAGCGATTGTGGTTTTATCAGAGTATTCGTATTTTCAAAATATTTTAAACTGTAATGATCGGATTTGAAATTATCAAAACCGTGTTGCAATATTGTTAACATCTTACTGAGATCTGAAAGAGCCTGTTTATAATCTTTAGAATTACACTTTTGTTTTAAAATTGATATAAGAGTTAAATCGTACAAAATCTTCAATTTATCAATCAAAGTGGAAACAAACAATCGTGTTAAATTTAACTCCGAGTAAAGTTGTGAAACAAACAATGAGATTTCTTTTTGTATTATAGATTCGAAAGTTTCAATAGTGAAAATTGCAGGCTCGTGAAATGAACATTCTGGTTGTGGAGATTGAATTATTGTACTTGACATAAGATTAGAACAACTCAAACTGTCTACATCTGTAAGGTCAGAAGAATCATTTTCAGGATTTCTATTTTGACCGATTCGTGTTTTGCCAAATGATCCAAAATGATTTGAAAAAAGTGTCTTTTATACGAGTAAAAACTGTTAAAACTTCTTGTACATTTTCCATATCGACAGTAACAGGCTGATAACATTAAAGTTTTATGGCGCTGTTTGACATGTTTAGTAAGACATGTTTCGGAATATAGTTTTGTTTCGCAAAATGGGCACGGAATCATTTTCATAATACTATTTATCTTGAACAAAAAAGTTATAATGAAACAATAAGAAACATAAATTTTTATCACACGGTTTTTTTTAATATTACTTTTTTCAAAAATCAAAAATTCAAATAAAACAATAAACAAAATTTTCCTTGTTTGATTAAAAAATAAAATAAAATAATGAAAAGAATTTGCGTATATGTATTGTCTACTTGGTATTATCTTGAAATGTCATTATATCGCTTATTGTTTCCGTTACATTAGGAGTCATTTTATCCAAACTATTTTCATAGCCATATAAAACTCTTTGTATTAATAACCATATGTGAGCGCTTTCGATCGGGTATTCAATATCAAAAACTTGAAAAATTTTAAAACTTAAGTATATAGCTTAAGTATATAGTCTATAGCTTTCAAGGCTGACGGTACCTTATACAAGGTGTCATCAACTGATATAAAAATATCAGAAATATCCGCGTTGGATCCGACAGCGATGATAAAAGGTTGCAATGTAATCTCTATGTCAGCAGCTGCTTTTCTTTTTTCTTCTTGTATTTTCGTGATATCTGCTATTAACTGTGAAATATTATATTATGAAAACCAATAATTTTATACCAAATATTAATTATCATGATACTTACAGTAGTTGAAATAACAATGCTATCTTTACATTCAGGTATCAATGGTTTCCACTGATTTTTTTTCAGACGAATTCGGTTTTTAGGTGGAAGTAGGTGTGGGAGAAGTCTTAGTTGTAGAACAATTTTTGTATCTGTTTGATCAAATAATACAAATTACACAAATTACATAAATACGATATGTATTTATTTAGAAGCAAATTCATTTACCGTCGGTCAATTCTTCGCATTGAAGCAACTCTATCAAAGCTTGTGCATTGTCATCGTCTTTTTTCGGTGGCCGAACAGCTAAAATTTTTACAAAAAAAGTTTTCCAACTTTCCAATGTTAATTCTTGCGTTGATAATTTCAGATCAGAATAATCCTCTTCAATTAATGTATATGCATTTGGATTTTTAAGAATGGGCCAGCTTTCAAAAATTTGACACAATTTT